GTGCCACGATATTTTGTGCCCAGAACCCAAGGACTATAGACCAATCTGTGAAAGCTGGAGCCAAAATAAATCCTTTCTCCTTTTCTGTTGTTTCTGTTAAGCATTCCATCACTGATAACAGAACTCTGAGATACTGCTCTAAGTAAAGTAACAATCACAATAGTCATAATTTAGAGATACACAAATGAATAATTTTAACCTCTTTGTGTTTTTTTCTTTAGTGTTTTACAAGTTTAATCAGTGAATGAAAGTCATCTCCAAACAATTAAGGCATTTTGTATTTCTGTAAAAATGCAAACAATAATCACATTGCCCTCATTGTCATACCCAGTGATTTCATCTTATAAGCTTCAATTTAAAACCATACTATAAACTCTGCAGGAAGAAACCAAGGCTATGCTCGCTGCCTGTAGCATTAGGGCCTCACTACACCGTCTCCATCTAAGTGCTTAGGAAGGCGAGCCACCAACACAGAGAACACAGCGGTATTCGTATAATATAAGATTCTTCTCCTCTCCCTGTTTCTGAAATTCAAGAGTGCTCATATCTCTTTATTAAAGTGCCAGCTGAGGCTCAGGGGAATAGTAGACACAGCTGGCAGCTCCACCAGAAGAAAAGTTAAACATATTCCAGTTTTAACATATTTAACATGAGGTAAATATTTGGGTGATATTTATTTTACTATTTAACTGCCTACACATAATTTTTCTACAAGCTGATGACAGAAAATAATTCTTTAAGTGTAAGGGTTTTTTCCTTCTTAAGCGGTAAAGAAATATATGGGGACTGGGGGAGGGGTGCTGGGTGAAGAATGGGTGGATTTGAAATGAAGGATGAAAATGGCACATGAAGTTTTCTTACATCTGTTTCAGATATTGCAGAAGCTCACAGGCTTACTCATGAAAAGTGGATGCAGCTGATGTAAGTTTCAAACCTTCTGTTCTGGTTACATTGGATGCATCCCTTTTCAACATTTTTAAATTGGAAGTCCGGTAAGAAGGTTCAGACAGATTCAAGGTTCACACAAGGAATCTGAAGCTAGGTAGGCTATTAATTTGCCACTTTTTCTCTTAATTATTACTGAGCCTTTGCTGAAAGAATTACTGTAAAGGGCCACTTCTTTGTTAATCTCGATTCTTTAAAATGTTTGAGGTAAATGTAAAAGAAAGTAGAGTACACCTTAATCATATCATTTGAGGTCTTATGGTTTGCTCCCTCAAAGTAGTGAAAACATCTAAAATGACAGTAAAATTTGATCACTAGCTCATGTTAAATATCTTTGTCCCCAAATTAGGTAAAGCATAGCATTTTAAAGTCTGAAAATCAATGACTCCACCCTATCCTACTTAGGTCCTATGTGGAGTCTTCGAATACCATGCAGAAATACTTAATTCACATTAAAGTAAATGATAGTTATTTCCCTTTAAAGTGACCAATTACATAGAAAGACCATGAACTGTATACTAAACTAAGGACTAGAAATAAAATTCATTGTCTAATCCACGTATGACAGTCCACACATGATATCTAGTGCTATGATCCCAGCACTCGGGAGGCTAAGCAGGAGGATTGCGGCAAGTTCAAGTCAACCTGGCCTAATCGGTGAGAGTCAGGCCAACCTGGGGTTATACGACAAGACAATTTCAAAACTATAAAAAGAAAATGAATAGTAAAGTACGTGTTTCATTGGCATTCAAAATGACACAGACAATCACAAAAATGGGCAAACCACTACAAGCGTGTGATCATGACTGCTGCATAAGGGATTCATTCTGCTTTGTGCACGCCAAATGAAACACTCCACACATATTACGTGGTCACTTGCCACTGAGCAAGAAATTATATTGGGTTTTAGAAAGGCAACTAACAAACAATAAAATCTGTATGGTGCTTTATGCTCGCTATTTGGGTACCAAACAGAAGCAAAGCCAACAGCAGCCGATGAGATGAACTTTTCCTGTATAGCACCATGAAATAATCAGGTTCCCTCTGTGCCAGATCAACAAAGTAGTTCCTTAAATATCTGTTCCTTAGGTCTTCTCTGCCGTCTGATCCAAGTTTTCTGGTTTTTTTTTTTTTTCTCTCCTCCCTTGAATAAAAATTTCTACTCTAATAATATAATATTTTGTATTTTTTTTCTTAAATATTCAGCAGTTGAAATTGCATTCCTGTAATTATAATTATAACTAATAGACCTTCCATTTCCCATGTCATAATTAATGTCAGGTTTTATTAGAGACAATCATGCTGTCTCTTCCCTTTCAAGACATCTTTTATTGTCACAACATTTATCATACATTGAATTAAGCAATAAAGAGTCCTAGAGGCCTTCTGAAATGACATCTTCCCATCACAGATTCTGGATTAACCAGCTTAGAAAAACAATAACAACATTGTTTTGCATTGTTTTTGAATCACATATAAAGTACTTCCTAATGTGCTACTGGTTCAAAACCAATAGGAAAAAGAGAGAGCAGAGATTCAATGATAAATGCATTAGATTTCCTCAAAGGTTGCTTATTGTGCTCATGAGCTAATGACAACAAACAAAATATCCATAGACCATACTTTCTGTTTGCAATACATGACATATGCAGAGGTTCAAATTCATAGCAGCAAAATGCATTTTGATATCAGCAGATAAATGTTGGTTTTTGAAATCATATCCTAATCTTCACTCTTTTAAAACATATCCAAAAGCTCAATCTTACCATTTAGCAATTCAAATAAAAAAGAGCTGATTCCTCCTGGAGAAACTGAAATAAGAATTTAAAGTGATGAGAAACTTTGACGCTTTAAAATATAACTGATGGAATAGTATAAAATTAATAATATTAAAATATTAAACAATATTTTAGCAGCCAGTTGTAAGATACATGGCATACATATGTCTTCTGACATAACATGCATGTGTCTTAGATAGGATGCTGGACTATGACTTAATGAGTGACAGGAGCTGCACTTTGGAGACATACACATGACTGACTCTAACAACCCTGTTATTCGTGACCCACAGATAATGCAATGAACCCTTACAGAACAAGTCCTTAAATTTTTGTCTTCAGTAGAATCCTTAAATCTCTTCCTGCTTGGTTCGCGTGGCATACATGTTCAATTCCATGTTCAATGTGTTTGTAAGAGAAACATGAGAAGATACATGTGGAACAAATTACAGAATAAGAAAAAGGGTTGGTGCTGCTGTGTCATTATACATATAAAGCACATTTCTGAAACACACAGAGAAACATTTAATACCATGCTATACAAGTCTCTTTGAATGACTATTTGAGCTAATTTATGTAATTCCCATCTATACTTTCTTAAAATCACTGACAAATCAAAAACACTGAATCAAATTAAAGTAAGATTTGGGAGGTAAGGATAACAGCTAAAAGAATTTTAAATTGACAGAAATGTTTCCTATCTTAGAAAAGTCCTCTGACTTGAAAGATTTTTAATTATGGAGGTCCATGGACAGATATGAAAAAGCTCTAAACTCAAACCACTAGTATTTCAAGGAAGACCCTAAAGTTCAGGGAATGTGGCAAGAATTCAAATAAAGTTCCTCATTTCTGGGTTTACCTATTTTTCTAAATTCTAAACCAGCCGCAAAATGGATATATTCTTAATTCCTTATCTTTGAAAACATACCATGATAATAACACACAAGTCTAGGGCAAATCTCACTTTTAACTTTGAACCTCTTAAAATTCCCAGGATGGAATCAATGTATCTGCGGAGACTGACCCATTACCTTCCCATCCCTCAACCTAACACTGTGCCATGCCTATCCAGGCCTGACACACAAACTTAAGGATCCTTGGTGGCTCTGACCCCTTCTCTCTTTAAACAGATCCCCCCAAGGACCCCAAAACTAGGTATAGCCCAAGAACAAATGCTCTGCCCTCAGCAAACAAGGTCCGAGGAGCATCTGCTCAGGCACAAAGGACCAGTTGGGCAGGAAATTCACAGTCTTGGGGAGCTACTGGGCTTTTCGAAGTTGGCTCATGTCTCAGAGAAGTCAGTCCCCTTAGTCCTTATGGCCCTGCTCCATGAGGAAGCAACTGCAGGGAGCCAGAGGGAGAAACTGTAGGTCCCAAGGTTCCCTTCTGTTGAGCATTAAAAGCAATTCATAATAAAGCAAGTTATTTTATGCAAGTTAGAAATGTAAAACCTGGAAACAGTTTTCTTCTTTTACTTTTCCCCTCAAGCAGAAATAAGTTGTCACGGAAGCAACGGTTCTTCATAAGAAATGCTCATACATTTGCATCCATACAAAAAGAAATTGCACTGTTCTCAAATATCTCCACATCTAAAACTGTCTACTGACCTGGTTACAATAATATTAGCAATAAAATTTTACAGGTGCGTGGGGCTTTTCTTATTGAAGCACCCCTTGCTTCACACATCTTTTTGAAATTCCTAGATGTGTAAAAAACTTATATCCTGATTTCCCAGATTATAACAGCAAAAAAATCAAGAGAGATGAGTTAAGTAATTTTCTGAGTTTCAAAATTAAATGTGGGTAAAACTAGGGCTAACATTTGGAATCTATTTTAAGTCTTTCTTACCTTCAGGAAGACCCACCTCTCCTGACAGATGATACTCGGTAGTAATTTCTAGCTTTTTTGAGACAAAGCTAAAATCTATGAAAGAATGCTAAATCTAGCTTTTTCTATTCTTGTTCTAATCTGTAAGAAGTTTTACTTTTGGATCATTGGAATCTTTGGCATCAATAATTTTTAAGTTATAATCAGTAAATGCCACTATAGAAGAATATTGCATTATGCATATTGTTTTTAAACAGCATGACTATACAAAATAAGAGAAAGAAAAAACCCACTCTTCCACCTGTACAAAGTTTAGAACGTGGTATTGAATCAGAAAAACACCATTGAAAAATTAATGGTCAGAAGCCACCCACTCTGACAACACTAACCAAATGGAGAAGGGAGGTAAAAAGATGATTTACATGTAATTCCAACAAAGGATGGGCCTACCTGAATCATATGCAAAATCTCTGGGTTCCTGTTTGATCATCAAAGGAGGGGGGAAGCTTTGGCTGGCCGCACCCCCAACCATGGTGTTATGTTCATATACTGGGTCGTGGTACTCCTGCTTAAAACCTTGTGGTGGGAAGGGGATGTTTGGCTCAGACATCTGGCGTTGGTACATAGGACGGCCTTCCCTTGGCATTGTTGGCAAAGGAGGAAAGGAATTACAGGGTTCTGAAAGCTGGCGGCGAAATCTGTAGAAGAAGAAGACGGTGTGTTTCAGATGAAATGGTAACACAGAATAGCCTTCAAAGGACTGGCATAATTCTTAACTGGAATGACTGAACTCATTACCAAATGTCCCCAGGCATATGGATTTAATGAAGCCGAGACTTGTCTTTAAAAGTACAGTGATGTTATGATTTTTTAATAACAGGAGGACATCATAAACATTTCAGTATATCACACAGGTCAAGGTGTGCTATGAAGTACTGTCAGAAAACAATGAACTATTTTGAATAAATATGGACCTTAACAGCTAAAATGACCAATTTAAAGCTAATTGGAGCACTTATATAACTTCTAGATGAAATACTTCTCAAATTATTTAACATAAAAATAAGCAGGAAAAATAGAATCTGAACTCAAGCCTTCATTCCTTCTCTTCAACTCTGTCATCATGCTAATCAGAAAACAAAGGAACACCCAGACAAAAACCTACTTACTGCTTTTCCTTCCATAACCATCAGAAAGCCTAAGAGAGCTGAACCTCTTCTCAAATCAGCAGGGCTTTAAATTCTTCAACAATGTCCTAAGTAACATTGTATTCTTGTAGGAAATAAACCTTGGTATTATGGGGACTGAACTTTAAGCTTTGTTTTTTGTTAGGATCATCTCTTTGCTGTCAAGGGTATTCTAACTCCAAGAGCTCCAGACAAGTTAGGCTGATTAAAACAGAAGCATAAAATCTATAGCTAATCACCCAAAATGAAGATAATGACTATTAACTCCCTGCCCAGATTTGGGGCAAGTCAAACAGTGAGGTCATGAGGAAGTTCTAAGACCTAAGAGGAAGCTGAGATTGAGTCCCGTGTCCTTCCTTCTCGGTAACACTTGGCTGATCACACAGCATTCTGTTACGTGTATCTCATCCATAATATCATTGACCCACCACAAAGATGTGGGTTAATTAAAGATTTAAAAGTGCTCTAAAAATGCCCCAGGAGTGCTTAAAAAATAGCCTCTGAAGCATATCTATGAGCAAATATTAGCTTATAATCCCCCACTAAAAGCATTCCTGAGACTTTAATTTAGAAAGTTAGCATTTAATTTTGGTAACGTTAAATAAAAATAAGGTATAAGTCAAAGAATGGCAAAGCAATTGCTTTAATATTCCTAAGAACACTCCATCCTGGGATTTAACTCCAGGCTCACCGGCTGCCGTGGAAAACACTGAACTTCTACCTACACCTGCAGAAAATAAACTTAGAAACTCGGCTATTACAAAACAGGCTGACTGGCACTGCATTCATTTCCCTTCTCTTGCTTATTTCATTAGCCAAAAAAGGAAACAGAAATTATCATTAAGAACTGTCAAGGAGTGAATCAGAATTGTAACTTGAAGATAAAATAAGAAGCTGGCTCCTGTGAAGCCTTAAAAGGAAGGTAATGATGCTTACACTGAAAGCTTTGTAAGGAACCAAGCCATTTGATCTGACCAGTCAACCTGATTTGCACCGTGTTCTTGTATTTGCTAGAGATCATGTTGATATCAACCACATGCTTCCCCCCCCCCCCAGGCTGTCTGGTTTCAGAGTCATTCTGGTGAGCCACTGACCAATGGCAAAGAAGTGACTGAGGAAGAAGGTTGATGGGTGAGAACAAAATGCTAATGAATTAGTGAGTAAAGCTTGGGGGGCACCACTAAGGAAAAGAGACAGGGCTCTTGCACAAAGTGCCAAAGAGCCAGTCTAAGGTGTGCAAGTGAGGCTGGGGAAAGGAAGCAGAGTGCCAGCCAGCTGGCCACAACCGGTTTCCAGAATGAGGTGGGGCGCCTGGGCTGGAGGGGGCTATGTGGGAAAAGGATCTGTTCCACGTGCAAACTTGCCATTTATTACTGAAGGACTGTCGTTTGTTGGTCTAAGCCCTCTAAGAAATCCTTATCAGAAACATAAGGCCTCAGAGATTTTCCTGGGAGTGGCAGCTGGTACTGTACTCAAAACTCAGTTGGGAGGCAGTGGGAAAAGACCCTGAGCTTCCCTCTAGTATTTCCGGGCTGGCTGTTCTCAGTCTCAAATATTTGACTTCAAGTTGAGAAACTAAAATGGATTTGGCTAAAGCGTTTCCAGTTAGGTCATCTAAACACAGGCATACTGCTTATTCAGCAGTCACCTTCCCTGAGAGATAACTGGCCCACACAGAGGCAGACAACATGATCTATAATTCAGACACTTGTTGGCACTGTGAAGGACTCAGTTATGAAGAACTCCGGGAAGTCTTCTGAAGTGGAAAACACAAAAAGATATTATTTTGTTGTCGCTGCCTGATTTCTTTTTGGCCCTGTACAATGTCTTTCTGTTTAATGGCCCACCCTGCAATAAGCATTCTTCCATCTTAAAAGCTGTTTATAAAGCTGTTTACACAGATGCACATAGCATTTCCCTCTGACAAAGTCTGAAGTCTACCCGGTGGGAAGAGAGAGACAATAGGGGGCATTTAGTAAGGAAAGCACATGGGAGGACCGATTTGGTGATGCAAAGAAAGGTAGAAAGTATTGCTTGGTTTCATACTGGAGAAAATTGTTTTATTCTATTCCTTTATACCAAAGAGTTTCTGAATTTAAGATTGGGTCCATTAAATGGTCTAGAAAGTGTTCCTTTATATTCAGATTTGCCTGTAACCAATTGGGAGGAGTCCTGAATTATTTTTACAATGATATCTCTCAGTCAGTTACAGTTCTGTTTCCTGGTAAATGATCAGGAATTAGGGCAAGGGGGACAAATGTTAAATGCATTTTTCATTTAATGAAATGAATTCAATTTCACAGCCCTGAGATTAAAGGTAGGTGTACAACAGAAAGGCAGAAGAAACTAAAAACTCTGAATTTCCTGATTATTTTTCTACGGCTTAAGCGCTTGCTGTTACATCTACTGTATCTGTAGGCTACAAATACTGCGTAGGACTGTACCAGTGCACATCTCTTTCCAGTTAGTATTCAGGGCTGCCACAAAGATAGCTCATAGTCTGACATGAGGCAGTATTACATCATCAACTCAATGCATGCTACAGATAAGGTCTTTGTGCTTTTTTCCCAAGGAGACTATTGTTAAACATTTACCAGGAAGTCACTGGTTACATGAAGCAGAAGGGAAGAACTTCTCTGCATACAATCAGCCTGTGTTTTAACTCATGTAGTAAGGTAGCACTTCTTCCAGTATTTTATTGAAACATGTATTTCTCCATCTTTAGAAGTCAACAAGCTCCCACCACAGTCTCCTAACAAGTTCCCCACCCAATTCATGCCTTGTTCATTTCTAAATAACACTCATTCAGCAGCTATCTCTTTAAGTCCACAGTCATGGGTCTGACATTAAAAATTCATTGAAAGAGCAAACAGCTTTAATCAAATAAGTTATATTCTGTAAGACTGTAGAACTAAACTATTTAATCAAAGGTAAAGAGCCTAATCCCATAAGCTACCTACTAAAATTAGTCTCCTAACTACAGAACAAGTACACAGATGTTCACAGAAGTGAGGTGATCTGATTTAAAGTTTAAGTGAAGCAATTTAATTTAAGCAGAATGAAAGAATAATGTTCAAATGTCAATCTATAGATAATTTTCTATTTTAGCAACCAATTTAAATGTTTATAAAAGGTATGTTTGCAAATCTCCACAAATTATTTATAAGTATAGATAGAACAAGTTTTTGCTAAAAATATTTGGTTCAGATATGCAAAATGAATATGCTTACCTTACACAACTATAGGTGTTCAGAACTGGTAATAGAAATCTTATACAGGAATGCAGAAATCTGTTCTATTTTGTTTTGTTCTGTTAGAAATGGCTTATGCAGTTTACCTGTGGTCCATAGGGTAGCTGCTTTCTGGTATGGACTGCGAAGGAGGGAGGTGAGCTGGGAAGGCCCGGTCAGGTTTCGGAGTGTGAGTTGAGTTTGGAGATGCATGATGTAGTGGGGACACTGGAGTACTGGATGGTGTTGGGGGGTTGGAGGGCCTCATTCCCACTTGTGGCTTCTGATCATAGGCACTGCCCAGAGAACAAAGAAGAATGTTTGTTGCATTGGAGTCAGCAAAAAACAAGTTTCCTATCCATGGAAAAAGAAATTGTCTTAGACATCAGCAATAAGGAAGCTAAAATACTTTGGGTTTTGATTTTTAATTCTAAAACATGTAAACTTCAAAGTCATCATTCCCTTAAACAGAAAATAGGAAAACAGGAAATCTTAAAACAACATGTGTATACAGCATGTATATTTTCTTTTTTAAAAAATATTTTATTTTTTATTATTTTATTTTATGTGTATTCATGTATTGCCTGCATGTACGTAAGTGCACCCGTGTCGTGCAATGCCCACGGAGGACAGAGGAGCCTCCAGATCCCCTGGAACTGGAGTTACAAACAATTGTTAGCTACCATGTGGGTGCTGGGATTCAAACCTGGGTCTTCTGCAAGAACAGCCAGTATTCTTAACCACTGAGCCATCTCTCCAGCCCACAGCATGTATATTTTCAATAGACAAATTAGTAAAAGGCAAACCATTGTTACTGAGGTATTATTATTATCTCCATCGATTCCTGACCGATACATTTCAGAATTCTTAACAGTTCCTTCCTATATCATCAAATAGCTCTGATATTATAATTCTGCCCCTCTATTATATGTATGTAATATTTTATTTATTATTTTTATGTTATGTGTATAAGTGTATTGCTTCCATGTATGTGAGTGCACCCATGTCGTGCAATGCTGTGGAGGTCAGAAGAGAGCTTTGGAGTCCCCTGGAACTGGAGTTAAGGACGGTTCGTAGCCACCATGTGGGTGCTGGGACTCGAACCCAGGTCCTCTGCAACAACAGTCAGTGTGCTTAAACACTGAGCCATCTCTCCAGCTCCCCTCCCCATTATATTTTAAAACCAAACCTAGTTTCAGTTCAATAATGCAGAGAGTTTGCTTGATTTGTCTTTATCTGTGGTGGAATCTTAAGGCACTGCTTTGGTCTATTTCGAGGTTTCTATATTAAATAAGTGATGCTCGGCCTTAACCTCCTCACATGGGATAATAAAGATTAATGAGGCAAATAATGTTTCCTCTGATGTATTCAAACATTCTTGGAGTATGAGTACAAAATAATATTATTAAGAGTAAAATCTTATTATCATAGTCTAACTTCCACTCACAATTACAAAAGAAAAAAAGAGTGAGCTGCTTGATTTTATATTATGAATTTAAATTGCTTTCTAATGTGTGGCTTTCTGGAATATGATTTAAATAATTTCTGTAGTCTAGAAAAATACCTTGTTAAAACCAGAATTTTCTTAAATTTCTGAACCAGAAAGTATATTTCCATGTAAAGTGCCTAGGTTTCCTTTGCAAATAGAATTATTAATGATACACATTTTAAAAGAATTATTTGTTTTTGGGTTAATATATAATAACTTACTGTTATTCTAGTAATCCAACAGAATTATATCCAAGTCTAAAAATACTTTCCAGAACAGCAGGAACATGTGCTACACCCGTTTAAAGAACCCTTGGAGGGAAAAGTTGGGGGTCTGGGGGAGGAACTGGAGGAATAGGACTGGGCTGTGGATTTGACCAAAACATGTTATATGTATTATGAAATTTTCAAACAATATAAAAAGAACCTTGCATTTTGTTTTACCTATGTCCCTTGCTAATATTACTGAATGAAAACATACTTTTTAAAATGGCTGGCTTAACTCTCCTATGAATAAAGAAATAAGTAATGAATTCTCTATCCTAAGATATTACTTTATTCCCCCATCAAAGTGTTATATTAAGTTATATGTTTTGCAGATAGATGGAAGTACTAGAATTTATTGCATGTTCCATATATGCTGAGAGCTATTGGTCCCTACCAAAGCCTTCAAATATCCAGGCAATTCCCCAACTGTTAATTTGTGGGTGTTTTCAGAGGCACAGTCATGATCGACATTGAATTGCAATTAAGAATTGTGTAACTAGTTCACTGGAAAGTTTTCACCATGTTAAGTAACTGTGTGATAAATGCACAACCCCTTAAGGAAAAAACACAGCAACAAACTAAATTATCAACTCCATATTGATCAGTGTCATTTTATGTGAACTCAGTATGTTTTAATAGCACGATTCTGCAAAAGGTATTCTTTATAAAGTCTTTGTAGATTCAAATAAGCTTCCTCGTTTCAGGCTTCTTAGAGCCTTTTAGAAAGGCAGGTAAAAAACAGTAAGTTTACAAGAACAAACAGTAGCCATAAGATGGTACAATCTAAATCTCTTGAATCTTATGCATCATTGATATAAGAGTACACACAGAAATTGTATCAAAACAACAGATGATTCCTTTGGGTTATAATGCATTATAAGCTTGAATTGGTGTTCTCTCATAAAATAGTGCAGATACTTGGAATCATTTTTATAAGTTTCCAAACTAAATCCTTTTAAGAACTAAGTTTCTACTGTAATGGAGAGTAATATTCAATAGACAGAGCCAATTTTTTCTTTATGCAATTAGAGGGCAGGATGAAATGTAAAAGCATGCAATTCACTACAAAGGATTTTTAATGAACATATATGTTATCAAATTTTCCAACAAATGAACAATGTACTTTGCACCACCCTTTATTACCGTCATAAGAACAACTGGCTTTTTAATAGATAATAGCCTTGGCTAGGCCTTATAAAATTCTAGTTTTAGTGCAACTGTACATGAACACATCTTATAGATCATCTGTAAAGCCTGTCAGATAACTAATGTACTGCTTCAGCTTGCCAAATGTTTCTTTTTTTTTTTTTTTCAACAAACTCTCTAAAGTGCATAATGCATTCATTCTAATGGGAACTTTCAAAAGCAGCTTATGCCAAATAAGATCCTCTTTTCAAACCCAAGATACATCGTTATCACAGAAAAACAACTAATGATGGTGATGAAAATTATTGCTTTAAAATGATTCTAAAAGTGTGGGATTGTATGGTAAATGGTTCTTCAGAATTTTGCTAAATGTATTACCTAGTTAGTTTGTTATATAATGAAGACATAACCCATAAAATTGACTTGAGAATTATATCATTCTATACTTTCTCTTTAAAAAAAAAATCACTGTTCTATGCATGGACACTTGATTGCTTACCTGACATTGTACAGGCACTTTTCTCCATAGCTGAATTTAAAGGGTTGCTCTTGACTGCAGGCAGAGCCAAGTTCAGAACACGGGCTGTGGGGTTCTTTCTTGATTTTCAGTGGCAGGCCATGAAAAGCCACTAAAAGCAAACACACAAACAAATAAAAATCCATTAAAATTAAATGCAATTAGGAATTCAATCTATCAGTTTGTTTTACTTCTCTTATTTAAAATTAACATTCAACATTAACTTATATAGATAAGAAAATTTGCATTTGATGAGCCAGAATGGCTGAAGAGATTCTGGAAACTTTCTGTAGACTCCTTTTTGTTCTTATTGCATAACAAAGTACATTTCTGAATTTTCTCTTTACTTAAAATAAATCAAATCACTAGTTATTTGCTTTGCTGGTATTAACAATGCTAGCAGCTCAGTTTTCAGAAAGGAAGTTTTGAAAACATGTCACAAAGATTTCCTATGATTACAACAGAAAAAAAAAATACAACTATTTAGCCAAGAATCAGCTGAAGACTAGAATACAATTTGAGCATTATAGGAAGGAAGCTACCTCGAATGCTTTAGTAGTAATGACTTCATGGAATAACAATAACATGATGAAGAAAATCTAGGTATAGGTCCAAAGGAAAGTCATGACAATGTCGGGGGTAGGGTGCAGTGGCTAACATCTTTAAGAACAAAGATTATAAGAAAGAAATTTGAATACCTGCTTATCTACTTAACAGAACTATGAAGATAAAATGTGAAACATATATGAAAGTTACTTGTCACATGCAATCCTCAATAAAAAATATTATGCATCAAGTGGTGTTTTTTCTCCTTCCATAGTCCTTAATGTATAATTATGCTTAAAACAAGGTTATGGTTAATGCACATAGATTTATGCCTAAAATAATATAGAGATTATATCATAAAACAAAGACCTCAAGAAATATATACATTTGAAATACATAATTTTCAAATACATGTGATTAGCATATAGCTCTAAAACCAGTGATAAATATCACTATATCTTTTAACTTTTCAGTATGATATTTGAAGTAATAGATATTAGAGATTCTAGATTCTATTAACATTTTAGCATAAATTAGGAATTGGTTAAAAGTGGAGGAAACAGACAAAATGAATTTTGTTATTTTAAAATTTAATATCCACAAGTTACTAATTAAAACACAAACAGAAAAAAACACATTCTGGAGGTTTGTTCTCCAAAATAAGATGTGAAGTGTGCATTTTATAAAGGAACATATGACAAGAGAAACTTTGTGACTGACGGCACCATTCGATCTTGATTATACCATTTGGCACTATAAATGAGTATTAGCTTCAAAGTCATATAGTCTTCAATATGAACTGTAAATTAACTATACCATCCTGGACATTTACTCAAAGACTCCAAGTCAACACATCACTGAAATACTTGCATATCAATATTCACTAAATATCTGCACATCAGTGTTTACTGCAGGACTGTTCACAAGAGCTAAGTTATGGAACCAACCTAGGTGTCCATCAACAGTGGAGTGAATAAAGAAAAATGCAGTACATACACAATGGAATTTGAGTCATGAAGAATGAGGCTATGTCATTTACAGGAAAAAAATGATGTAGTTGGGCATAATCATTATCAGTGAATTAAGCCAGTCACAGAAAGATCCAAATACTGTGTTTTTCCCAGATTTTATATAGATACATAAAATCATATATATATATATATGACATGAAAACAAAGTAAAGTTGTCTAGGGGAACAGAAAAGCCTAACAAAGTAGGTGAAAAAAGTAGAGTAGGGGAAATGGGAGGCAGTGTGCTAAACATACAATATATATTTGTGTGAAAGAATTCTTATGGAACACAGTGCTATGTACAATGAATACATACAATGAAAAAATTTGGAAAAGAATCAGATATCACAAACTGTCAAACTTCAGGGAAATAAGTTTGTATGTTTGTATGTGTGCCATATTTTCAAAGAAATGGTCTATTGTACTCACTTTCACTGAAATAGCCAAGAAACCGAATTGTCAAGTAAGTTGTACTAATTAGTTGTCTAAGGAAAATTTATTAATTACACTTAGTGTACTGTTTCAAAATATTTTCTTAATGTGATGTGTATGTAATGTAAATGTGTACACACATGTTAAGCATGAATATTCAAGGCAGGGAGAAAGTTATGTCATCCAATAAATTAAGAATAATTTATTGAATTATCACATTGAATATACACTATTACTGAATGAGGTAATGGAATAATAGTTTATAAAAGTTTGAGCCTAGAAATTCATAAAGCATATGGACATAAAATGTTTAAAAGTTTTCTTTGAAATACTCATCAAAATTATTATGTGTGGAGAAGAGATTACTGAAATCAGGAAAAGACTGACAAACATAAAAAGCTGATTGATAAACAGGTGAGGGCGCTACATTCTCTTTAGACTTATTTTATTCCTCCTAAGCTTTCACGACAAAATTTTCCATGTATTTTTCATTGAATTATATCAATGTTTTGCAAAAAAATTGATTTTATTCAACAATAAAATTCTCTATTCTGTGTATTTATGTGATACATGTGAGCATACATGGATGCATTAAATCTTAGAAAAAGAAACATTGGTAAACTTCTTTTTACCAAAAGACACCATTAAAAGAAAGGAAGGATAACCATAAGCTTCAGGATGCTTGCAACATGACTTAGATAAGCAGTTCATAAGAGAAAATATCCAGGGTTGGAAAGATGGCTTTATGATTAAAAACACTTGCTGCCCATGCAGAGGACCTCAGTTCAGTTCCCACCACCTACATGAAGTAGTTCCAGTTCCAACACCCTCTTCTGGCCTCCATGGGCGCTACAAGCATTACAAGTACATGGTGCACATACAGAGGAGTAAGCACACACACACGTACACATAAATAAGAAATGTTTTAGTTTTAAAATAAAAGAAAATATCCAAATGACAAAGTGGGAAAAAAACAAGAACAACAACAAAACAAACGAAAATGTATTAAAATGACTCATCAAGAAATTGCAAACAAAAAACCACAAGATTATCCCTACATACCCATTAGAAAGCCTAAACTATAAGAGATTGACAATACCTATGTTGCAGACACAAAACCATTGGTCTTTTATACATGATGCTGGGCGTATAAAATTGGCATAACCATTTCAAAAAGTTTTTGGCAGTACCTACCAAAATTGATGTTAATGTGCCTTACAACACAGTAATTACACTATTAGACACACACCTAAGAAAAGGCGTATATATGCTCACCAAAAGGAGTACATATGAATGTTTGTGAACTTTCATTCATGACAAAAAAATGAAAACTATTAAATATTGATTGGTGGGGTAAATAAAGCATGGCATCCACATGCAACGACTATTATACGGACATAGCAAAGGATAAATTACCCACCAATGCATCTAAAAACACAGATGGTTTCACAGTCATGGAGCTAAGCAAGAAGGTAAGCACACAAAATATATCCAATAGATTTCCAAAACACAGCCGATTGAGAGTGTAAGGATTTCCTTCTATGGTTAGTATGTAAACTTATTTGGAAGATTAGTAAAATCGCAATGAAGTCAGGAAGATAAGCGCTGATCCCTTTTCTAGCCTGATAAATAAAAGGAAGTTTGGATAAGGAGACATGAACTCAGGGAAAACACCATGTAATGATGAAGGCAGAGATCAAGTTGATTCTGTATGCCAAGAAATGCCCATGATAAGTAGGAAAGTGCCAGAGGCTGGGGGAGGGTTGGGGGAAATGGAGTGGATCCTCTCTTCTGGCCCTCGGAACCTGGACCACATCTTCTGGCTTTGTAGCCTCTGAAACTCCAGGCCAATGAACTGCTTTCTAGGTCGCCCAGTGCACGGCACTTTGTTATCACAGCCCTAGCAAACTAATGACTATTCTCAGAAATTCTCAATCGCCAAGGCTGACTGCGGGAGGATTTTACTGGTATACATTTGCTGGGGGTTATCACAGCTGGTCAAACGCCGAATCCAATGCCAGGCTTGGCAACACCTAGATCCAGTGTACACTGCATTCAGATAGATCAAGCACTTGAAAGAGGCATCTGTCATGGTCTTCCTTTTCCCTTGACGACAGCAATCGAGGCCCCTTTGTGGGTTCTCCCACTCCAGCAGTGGACGACTCCCACTCTTCACAACCCGATCTACGCCTGTGAGGCTCTTAATCACTATTGGTCCCAGGAACCGATTTTGTTTTTACTAATCACAAGCCGTATAAATAGTGGATGAATCTAAGATAGCAAGAATTGTTTTAAATATCTGGGAAGAATAAAACTAAAAGCCAGGCTGAGGACCTGCAACTTTCTACAGACCATCGGGCTGCTGTGGTTGCCTCACCTTCTGGCGACCTACATGACTTCACATACGCGACTTCTCTTATTTATCCTTGCATGAGGGTGGTATAGGGACTCCCAGCAGAGAGGGCTGAGCTGGAAATGTTCGGTATTTCATCACAGGGCTCGAGGCTCAGCGGCTGCTAAACAGGCGGTTTTCCAGCTCATTGGCACCGACACAAGAGAAAGCAGCACATTCATTTCGTGCAATTTGCTTTACCTTCCCACATGGAGTTGGTGCATGTAAAAGGCTGTTAAGTACTAAATTATTCCTTATCAAATCACCATCATCTGGAGTCATGATCAACACTAATTAAATTACTTTCGCTGAACACGGCTCCAGCCTGCTGCCGAGGCTGCTAGGTACATTGCATTCCGCTTACACTGAGGCCCTCGCTGGGTCCAGAACACAGACCTGCAGGCATCGGCATTGTTTGTAGTTTAATTAAAGTGAATCTTTCCTTCTTCAACTGTATCAAATCAAGTGAGTTAACTCCTTCATTTCATTGACAAAGAAATGATGTTTTTAAATTATGCTGTATTTTTATCCCTGACTTCTGAGAACTCAGATCATTTATCTCCTGAAGGAGAGGCCGATAGAACACTGAAGGAATGAGCCTTGCCACTTTCTTCTTTGATGGAAGCTTGACCTTTAAAACCACATCTTAAGGCTGACTAATGATGACTGAGTTTCTAATGGGTAAATTTAAAAGCTCCAAAATATCAAGTTTTAAAAATATGCACTTCCAAA